GACCACTGCACCTCTTACATATCCTACGATTGCCATCACAACCACAGATTCCCAGGTTTCTACAAGTACAATGTTGCCATCAAAAAATCTTCCTTCGACTACTAATGCACCATCGCCAGCTACGCTCTATACTTCAAGCAAAACTACTATTTCCACATCTTCGCTAACTACTCCTAAAATAGAGACATCAAGTTCCTCGATTAACACAAGTCCTGCAGTCGCATCAACCGTCATACCGACTTCTGTCAGAACAACATCATCATATACCTCTGATTCCTATTCAACAGTGACGAATCATGCTACCCAACAATCGACAATAACTTCTGGGACATCGATGACTACTAGTATGTGGCAGCCAACCATGGCTAGCACTCAACTGACACGAAACATTGTCACAACTGAACAGACAACGGCGAAGGGCACACCAAAAGTCACAAGAACTTCTGCAAGTGCGCAGACGACGGAAGCCAGCATAACTGGTCAATCAACTACAACCGGCACATCTACAATGACTGATTCAAATTTGAGCACATCCGCTGCAAGTAGTGCAACTGGTACCATATCAATTATTACTACAGACACTGTTGGAAGCACACTCACCACTACGATTTATAATGCTAACACCTCCGCTGCTACAATTGGCACTTCAAAAAGCGCATCTACTCTTACAGACGTAACAAGAAACACATCAGCAATTACGACTAGATTTTCTAAAGGCACATCGACACCTACAAGTGATATGACGGAAAATACATCAACTGCGACGCCTTTTATCAGTGGAAGCACATCTAGTGCGATTACAACAGGACTCACAGCAGCTATTACAACAGTTACAGTTACTACCGAAACAACAAACCCTGCTTTAAGTACATCTGTAGACACCGTTTCCGCTACAAGTGTTATTGGAAGCACAACCATGGCCTCAAGTGATACATCTAAAAGCGCAGCCACTACCTCAAGTGGTGTATCTGCAATCACAGCCACTGCTACAAGTAGTGTTACTGGAAGCATTATC